GACCAAACTGTGCAGGTCTGCAACTGCATCCTGGCCCATCCTCACCCTTCTGCCCCCAACCCTCACCTCCTTGTACCCCCAATATGTTTTTCCCAATAAAAAAAAAAGAAATGATCCAGGAAGCAATAAAAGAAGATGAAAGTAAGGACAATACACTCATCAAATGTTATTGTTGTTATTATTATGTACCATTGAGTTTATAGTGACTATACATACAACAAAAGTAATCCCTACTCCATCTTGTGTCATTGTCAAAAGTGAGTTTGAGCCCATTGTTATAGTGCTGCATTACTCACATTCTTCAGCTAAGAGATTCAGTTTAGAAATAAATTTTAGGCCTGGAGCAAGATGGTGTAATGCAATCCCAGAGGTGAGTGGTTCAAATTCACCAGATGCTCTGCTGGAGAATGAGGGGCAATCTCTTCCTGTACCAGAGAGGTCTGATTTGATGATACACACAAAAAATTATAACAATTTAAAAAAATTTTAAAAAATAGCATCTTTAGGGAGCTCTGGTAGCCTAGTGGCAAGCAGCTGCATTGTAATCCCACAGGCGCAAGGTTCAAATCCACCAGATGCTGTGTGGAGAAGGAGGGGCAATCTCCTCCTGTACCAGTCAGATACAATTTGACGGTACACACACAAAAGAAAAAAGAAGTAAATTTGGGGAAGACTTCTTACAGGCAAAGCTCTGCTTCAGTCCAGTGACCTATCATTTTTCAGTGGGACTGCTGTTTTTGGGGGGATTTTTTGGGGACTGCTATTTCAATGTAATAGTTTCCCCTTTGATATCTAGCTCAACATTACACATGGTGAATATGTTGTTGTTATGTGCCGTCAAGTCACTGGAGACACGTAGCGAACCTATGTACAATAGCCCTAAACCCTGCTCTATCCTGTGCCAATAGCACTGTCTGACACACCCATCCCAATTACCCCAGTCACTGAATCAATCCACCTCATAGAAGGCCTTCCCTTCTTGCGCCATCCCTCCACTCTTCCAAGCATGATGTCTCTCTCCAAAGACCTCTCCCTCCTTACATGTCCAAAGTATGTCAGACGAAGTCCCAGAATTCTTGCCTCCAAGGAACAGCCTGGTTTAACTCTCTCCAGGATGAATCTGTTTGTTTTCTTGGCAGTCCATGGTACATTCAATACTCAATTCTCCTTCTATTCTCCCTAGGCATTGTGCAACTCTCT